GCCCCCGGTATTTTACATTAGTGTGTAGTCCAATATCCTGAGCAGTGGTTTCGTTAAATAATGGGCAATAAATTGCTTAATTTTCCAGATGACATAAAATGGTACTGCAAATATTTTAGAGCAGTGTTTTTCAAACTTGGCAACTTTAAGATGTGTGGACTTCAACTCCCAGAGGAATTTAGCAAATTGATAATTGGTCAAATAAAGAATGCAAGATGAGAAAACTTGATAACCTTTCTCAGATTTGTTTGGTTGATGTGGATTGTTACATGCTCTGCTTCAAGATAGTGCACTCTAACATGAAAAAAAAACTAAATGAAAGAATGAAGTAAGTTTGTACAGTTCATATATTTGAGGCAAATGTTTTATATTATTTTTAAGAAAACTCCATTCTGAAAATAGGAAGCAGCATACTTAAGAGAAGAATGGAGAAGTTCAAAATGATTTGAGAAGTTTCAGCTATGAAAATAAGCTAAGTGTGAAAATCTCTTAAGGACAGGGAACATCTCAACTGGCTTAAATATTGGGAGGAAATGGGAGACGTTTTTCAGTTGCGAGAGCTGAACTGAATTGCTTTGCTCTTAATTAAGGGTACTACCTTAGCGATGATTTCTAATCTGAAAAGGTAATGAGAACCCCTAGGTTTGCAATTCTCTCCCTGTAAGGTTTTGTCAAGAAAATGTTAGTTGGTATCTTGCTTTATGCATAGGGCATCCAGACTTTATTTTTAAGGGTTGGGTTTGATCTGGCAGCCAAGAGCCTAATCAGAGATTGTAACAGCTGTGACAAATATGTTGTATCAGTGCAACACACCCCTTATTACATTTAATAACAAAACCCTCATTTGGTTTTGGTGTTCTTGCAGATCTGAGTTTCAGATGAAAATGCATATTTCAGAGGTTGGAGTGTTAATATCTTACAAGCTTTATAATTCAAAGGTTTGCATTAACTTGCTCTTGTTTCATTCTTTCCAGGGTTTTTTGGGGGGTGGGAGATGGTGGGGAGTAGCACACTTCCTATAAAGAATTGGTTTAAATAGGAACAGAATTCTTCTAAGCCAAATTGGAAAGCATTATTTCTGAAAAATGAAGGACAACTGGGGGACAGATAGCCACCAAATGGCATCATGGAGCTCAACTGGAATTCTTCAAACTGAATGCACTTTACTAGCAATATGGCGGCTACCTTACAGTTCTGTGTTCTTTCCCTCCTTGTAGGTATCTCTTTTTTTCTCAGTTGCTTTTATTAGGTCAGAGTAAGATAAACCTCTTAAGCCCAGTCCAAATGCCAAGGAGGCACCTGATAGAGGGGAGACCAGCCGCACTATAGTCTTACACGCTGAAATTTCATGGTAATTGCTATTTGTAGTTAGCAGCAGTCCTTAGTCAAATCAAGAGAATTGGAATCATGCATTAATGAACTGCAATCAAGCAGCTTCAAGTACAGCTCCTTCAGGATATTGACTGAAATCAGGTAACTCTCAGGCAGTTACCCCCATGGTTATTTCCCATGGATATTACAGTACCTATCATCCCACTTTAATAACATTGGAATAGGGAGCTGATGTTGCTGAACTACAGCATCCCTCATTGTCAAGCTACAGCAAACATAACTAGATACAATAATCAAAATCTCTGGTATGTATGCATATGTGTGTGATATTAAGCCCTATTAAGGGCTATTATTAAAGCCCTATTAAGGGCTATTAAAAGGAAGGAAGGAATTAAGAAAGACCCATTCCTGTGGTTGGATCAAACCTGAACAGCTCAGATTTAGTTGAAATGGAAGTGGGATTCTTTCAAAGTAATCTCTACACAGTGTGATATTGTATACACTGTGAAACATGAGACACTACTTCCACTTGGGCACTGCCAAAGATACAGAAATACTGTACTATCTTCATCTGTTCCCATTACGCTCAACAGGCCTGGGCTACCTGAGCCAGGTGCAAAACTAATGGTTCACAATATATGCTCACTCTGAAAATTTGTTTTCAGTGCCAGTTGACTCTACATCTGATTTCAAACTGTTTTGGCAGAAACATCTGAGCAAATGGCACAGCACCTGGACGTCTGGCTTGTCACTAAGTAGGGTTAGGTCAGTTTAGTACTTACATGGGAGACTACTAGGGAATCTTGAGGTGATAACAGGGAAGCTGAAAAACATCCCCCAAGATGGTAATGATAAATCACATATGTGTTATTGGTAAGAAAACTGCATGGACATATCCACGTGATCATCAGAAATTGAGTTCAATCCAGAGATGACTTTTCTATGACTCAGAAACACTTGCTGATCTGTTGTAAATCATCCAGGTGTCTAATTATAGAACATGAAGTATTTGTTTTCCCACCCACCCATCTGAAGATTTCTAAATCATGAGGGAGTCTTCTAGAAAAGTGAGTGTTGTAGCACTGGAAGAAAGCTGATTCTCCATGAAAGAGAAGGACAAGGCAGTGAGCCTCTCCTGCTGTCTGCAAGCAACTAGTACAGCTACCATTTGGACCTTCAGCTACATTAGTCAGTCACACACTTTCCCTTGTCATGTTCATTGCTGTTCCAGTGAGCATGGCAAGGTGCCCCCACCCCCCCTTCCCATCCTGTGACATCACCCCTCAACCTCTGGTGGTGGTACAGCTAAATGCATAATTGCCTTCTATGTGTTCAGAACATACGAGCTATGTAATACTCTCAGCTGTTGACAGAATCCTATCACCACAACTATCTATTGCCACAACAGGGTGGTAGTGGTGATTGAACTGCTAGGAAATTACTAAAAGGAAGTTTGAATCAAACCTAGGTTTGATCCAAACATTCAAATGTGACAGGTTTCTGTTAGTCAAACAGTTATTAGTTTCAATATTTACAGATATATCTTTTATAGGCTTCCTTCCAATTTTCTCTCCATCTCTTAGATATATAACATTCTAAAATTAGCTACAAATGGATGGCTAAATTGTATCATAAATTAGGAAAAAAGGGCTCAGTCTGGGGTCATAGATAACCAGTGAAAAGATACCTAAAGTAAACATTTGTTTGTCAGGAAAGTTCTTGATAATGTAAACACTAGATACCCTTAGCATGAAATGTGTATTTTTTTCTCCTTGGTTGTCTTCTGCAACTTAAACACAAGCACTTGGACATCAAGTATTAGTTCCAATGATAACAGTAATGTCAGAACAGAATAAAAATCAAACCGAGCAACCTTAAAAAAACAAAGATTTATTGCAGTAATACAATTTTAAAAACACGTCTGTAGTTAGGTCTACTAGTTTGAAAGTGGCACCACAAGGTCATGAGCTAAAAAAAGAAGCTATGGATTTAGGGGTACTCAATTAGCAATCCTTCTGTTTGGAGGACCGATTTTCAGACAGCAAACCACTTACTGTATTTCTAATAACCCACTAACCATTTTGAGATTCTTGGGCCTAAAGATACAACTCTGCCTTTGTGACACCAGAACATCTTACAAAATGCTCAATTAGCTGTATAATCCCAGGATACCCATCAATGGGTGGTCTGTCTTCCCTATCCATTAAATAGAATGTTTCTCTATTGCACTGTAATTTTAGAAAGAGATTCGTAGCTTCTCCAGATAGCTGTGGAGGTGTAAAATCATAAAAAAAATACAAAAATATTTTCTTGAAAGGGAGCAGCACCCTACCTTATTACAATTTGGATGCCTCTTGGTGGCCTCCAAAGCGATGCTCCACTCTTGAAGGAGAGAGGCACCATTTTAAGAAGTTGAAACTGACAAGCAAAAAAGATTCATGGCTTACTGGCTTTTAAATTTATTTGCCTCAGTTCACTAGAAATGATTTCCAAGTGTTTATATTCAGAAATAAGCAGGAGAAAGAACACACAACAGAAGAGGAAAAGGAAACACACAAACATATTTACAGTGTTGAGAGCCCACCCTCCACTTTTCCAGCAGTCACAATGTTAAGCAGCCCATCTCACCTGCAACCAATAAAGTGCCTTTCTTCTAACAACTTTCCCCTTATTTCATTAACAGACATAGGTAAGAGGACAATCCCATGTCGCCAAAGATCTTTGAGACAAAGCCCAAAGTCATTCACAATTCCATCCGCTTCCATTTTTTTGTAAATCAATACAACTTCCACAGAAGCCAATGATGATGCATCTGGATCACAGTATTGCTATCTTAAGTATACTAAGTCTTATGAATGGAAGAATCACATCACCTGGGTTTTAAATCAAAACACTTAACAAAAGCAATCTTTGGTTTAGCAACAGAAATGTAAAGAAGTAGATTCCCTATCCTCCAGATAAATTCCTATTTGGCAGGAAAAAATCTGCATAGCGAAGTTACTGAAATCCACATATATTTCATTATACCCACTCTGGGCTCAAATAGAAGACCATCATAGAAACAGTTAATAGAATTGATTTGCCAAGAGCCAATTCAGAAGTTCTTGCAGGACTGCAATCTCTTTTTAATGCAGAAAAATCCCCCCAATATAAAATCTCCAAAGTGTTAATGTTTGACAAGCATTGTGTGTGTTTTCTTCAAGACAGGATATTCCACATAATAGCAGTACCTGCTCTACTGAAAGGCTGAACTGGCTCCAAGGTAGAAAAGCATCAAAAACTCACATTGCTAGGAATGGGCTGGGTGGCTTACAGACTACTGACTGTAAATGTTAGCCACCCAGAGTCCGCAAATGGGGCAGCATATCAATGATGGCTGCAACTGCCTACCCAATATTTTGGACCACTAGGCAATATGAAGACAGAAACTGCTTTATGAAGGAGTGAGTATATGCCATTTTTCTCCTTACTGTGTCACAATATAAGCAAGTGTTGCACAGAACTGTTGGTTACAGAGGATTTTCTCACTGGAGTTCCACACAAAGTTTGGTAGATATGCTCAGTGAGAGTCAATAATTCTTATGATCAAGTAAAGATATGATGGTATTGAAAGACATGTGTGATTAATCTTTAAATAAGCCTGAGTAGTATAAGTACATTCTTTTTTTAAAGGGGCTTGATCAGATAAGAAAGTGCCGAGTCATGATGACATCACTGGAGTAGCATCAAGGTGGTGCCCGCGGGTGCCACCTTGACGCCACCCGTGACATCATCATGACTCAGCACTTTCTTATCTGATCAAGCCCCTTTAAAAAAAGTACGTACTTATACTACTAGCCTGATTTGCAAGACCTATCCCTTATCCTTTTTGATAGGAAGAATGATGCAAAACTGCCTAACCCCCAAGTTCTGATCCCAGCATGGAAAGCCAACACCGCATGGAGAAAGAGAAACATAAACAGACTCACAGGAACTGACTCACTGCCCAGGAAGCATCTGAAGTGGATCAAATATATAAACCCAAATTAAAGGAGGATGGACAAAAGAATACAATGAAAATGGAAAGCTTTTTTACTTCCAAAAAACCCTCCAAGACTGAAAACAAAATCACAACGGATTGAAGTCCTATGTACAACATACTACATCCAATAACTGGACACAAAAGGGAGGATAAGTCCTCATGCTCTCATCTCAGGAGTGCCAGCTTTCCCAAAGAGAATATGTAGTACACATAACCAAACTGCAAGAGGTATGTTTCCACCTCATAACTTGTGAAAAAACAAACCTTATGGCCGCAGCAGAGTTGCTCTATATTGGCAAATTATTATGGCCCAGCCTTTCTTTGGTGTCTGGTAGCTAGAGCAAGGAGCCTGGGAACTCTGGATGGCTCACTGTGAAAAACATTGATCTACTAATGGATGAATGCAACACATACAAAAAAGTCATAATTATCGCCAGTATTTTTTTCTTAAACAAAAAAAAGATGATTTTCTGTATTAAAATTATGGCAACAGAATTTAGAAACTCATTAAAAAAGCATCATTTGCCAGAAGGTTCCTGAAATGTGCATTTGTGTGGTAAGTTTGTGAATGATGCACACTTTAAAAGAAAGAAGTCCAAGAACATTGCTAGAACTGATTGACCAAGATGGGCTCAAACATTTGCATGACTGTCAGATTACTTTCTTCCATGATTCTCTTCCTGTCTCCATGCTTCAAATGATTGCCAGGTTACACATCCAGAGTCTGTTTTCTTAGTTTCTTTTAGAAAATATAAACTGGAAATAAAATGTGCAGGTAAAATTCTTTCCTCTTCAGCAGAAAAAGAAAAAAAAGGCAGTGACTCAGAACTGTTGAGTTCCATTGCAGGTGTCTGAAAACATATGTTGGGAGGAATTTACAGCTTGGGCAAATAAAGAGCTTCTGGAGCTTTTGCAAATGGAAGTCAGACCCCTGTTGTTCCAGGCACTACTGAACTGAGTACACAAAGTCTACTACAGTGATGGTGGGTCAGAATAGGGAATTTCCCACATAGAGGCCCAACTATTTCTTAACGGTGTCCAGTGTATGCCTTAAACCAAGAGGTAACTGAGGCTGCTGCTGAGGAGATCATGCCACCGGCACTGCTGCTGGCTATCGGTTGTGATGCCTGTGTGCTCTGGCTCTGCAGCATCTCTACCGGCTGGGAGGGGATGTCACAGAACCGTGGGCTGGGCAGGTTCTCCCAGTCTGTTCCAAGGTCAGTTTCTTCATCACTTATGTGCTCATCTCCACTCTCATCTGTTTCACCAGCACCACTGGGGTCCACAAACTCCATGGAATCTTCCAAATCAGCACTGATCTCAAATGGTCCAGACCTATGGGAAAGAAAAGAAATGCTTTGGTCACACACTTGATGGCCAAAATGGAAAAAATAGGCACACATTTATGTTTAAAGGTGTACACGCTGAAAGTAAAAAGATCAAATGTGAAGGAAATGACACTTGAGTTGAGCAACTGACTCAAAAACTCATCAGAGCAAGCTAAGTATGATGAAGCAGGATTTTAAAAAGATCAACAGAATAAGGGAATAATTCCTGGGAAGAACCCATAAAGCATCAAGCTACAAGAAGTATTGTTTTGCTAAGGGATATGGCAGTTCATGTAGAACTGAGACAAATTTCAATCCCTTGTCACAGTGAGGAAAAAAAAAATTGAAAAACAGGCAAGTGTTCACTGAAGTCAGGAACTTGCTCTTGTTGCTATTTCACCCAGAAATAAATAAATAAATAAATAAATAAATAAATTCATTCATTCATTCATTCATTCATTCATT